TTTAATTATTTTGTATAATATAAAAATACATATTAATACATATTTTATATGCTGTATAACATATATTAAGGTATCTTTTGATGTTATCATTTTTTTCAGGTGTAATATTGGACTAACCATTTTTAAACCCAAATTCCTGCCTGCAGAAGCTTTATTGTGGAGATGCTGCTCTGCAGAAACTGAATGGCTGCTTTTTCTAGTCATATTTTCTGATAAAAGTTAAACTGTAACTCCCACTTGTTTGGTATCAATATGAACAAACTTGTGGATGTGAGTAAGCCCCTTTATGCTATGACCAATTACATTGTTGCAACGATTTCAGCAACTTTCAGGTTCCTAAAATGTGTTAAATGCAGGTTTTATAGTACCCTTCCATTTTAGAATTACCTATTGGGAATCTCCTGTGGATATTTAACATTTGAGTTTCATGTTGAAGCACTACTTCCTCCTTATTAAATCTTGTATTATGAAAAGTAGATGACTGTTTGCTTTTCGTGTTTCTGATGTCACTTGTTTTTAATTGAACAGCAACACCAGATGCAGGAGAAGACCCCAAAGTCACAAGAGCCAAGTTCTTCATCCGGGATGAGTTTTTAGTGAGTAATTTTGGTCTTATGTGTGATTCCATCATAGGAAATACTGGCAGATGGTGTAGTTTATTTAGGGAAGACTGATGGGGTTTTGCAGAAAGCTAGAGGAGAGGAGAATGTCTGGCAATTCTCTGACTCTTTTCAGCTGTCCATCTTGCGGTGCTTGCACATTTTGATGCCCAGTTTTATGTAAAGTCACCCACCCTGCAGAGTGTCACAGCATGTAAGTGCTACTGCTGAAAACAGTCGTGTGACCTCCTGCTTGATTCCGGGTTCAGTGTAGGTGCCAGCAGCCCTCACTTTCTATGCAGGGGGACAATGCCAAGCACTATTCCCATTGCCAGTTAGTGAGGTTTTCTGTGGTTCTCTGTAAGATGCTGCTGGCTGTTGCCTTGAATGTTTATTTTGTGTATCAGTCCACTCCATGTTTAAGCATATAGGCTGGGATTCTTCATCCTGTATTCCCCAAAGGGCTTTGGCAGTGGTCAGCTGGCAAGAGGGGATGAACAAAAAAGCCGATCTTATCCTTAAATAAGATTTCTGCTATGCCCGTTAGGAGGTTTGCCTCACCCTGGGACTGGTGCCATGGCCCTACTGAGGAAGCATAAGGAAGTTTCCCTGTCTGGTCACAGTTATTCTTACAATTAAGGTTTCCTCCAAAGCTGAAGCTGAAGTGGTGGTTGTCTACATTTTGCAGATACAAGCAGTTATCAGATGCATGCTCACAGCCCAGTGCTCCTGTTGGAAACACAGGGCTCAGTCCAGTATCACTTGACCGAAATCATAGAATCGTTTAGGTTGGAAAAGACCTGTAGGATCATCAAGTCCAACCATTAACCTAGCGCTGCCAAGTCCATCACCTACGGCTTCACTCATATAGAGTTGTTCCCACAGTGTAAAGCAGTATCAGAGACCAGAACCAAAGTTCATCCATCTTGCTTTTCTGGTACAAACCGTACGGGAGTATTTGAGAGAGCAAATTTAATCATTAGAAGTAAGAATTTTAAAGTCATTATGTGTTTACAGCTGTTGGTGTAACAAGTAAGAAGGAAGCAATTGTCTGTGTTCATACTTTGGGGATTTCTATTCACCACCTTCACCTTCCGGATTGCAAGGAAAAATGTCAGATTGTGCTGCATTAACATAAGAGTTACCAAAAAAAAAACCCACTTCAAGCCAGATGTCTCTTGTGGTCATGCCGAAATACTGTGAAGCAGGTGACTGTATCCAGTTTGGAAGGAGGGTCCAATAGAACCAAATTATGGGAAAAACTAGGGTGAAACTCCTTTATCTGTTTTCATTATTCAAAAAAAAACACATCAAGGGCAAGGTCCTTCCCTGCCGTGGCTCACTGGCGTTACAGAGGCCACCTATGAAGCAGCCAGGGAGAGGAGGAGGGGTAGACATTGCAACCGGATAAAACACCATTGGCTACAGCATCCCTTTGCACCATGGGTGCTGGGGAAGAAGTGTTTGGGCTGGGGCCAGCACTCACCAGCCATCAGACAGCCCCTGGGGCTCGGGTGTGAGGCCAAAATGCAGCCAAAAAGCTCTTCCCCCTTTCCCGACAGGCACTGCAGGTCTGGCAGAGAGCATCTCCTCCATAAGCAGTGCTTGTGTGATTCTCTCCTGGGTTAGTGTTTGGTTTCTCAGCGTAAAGAAACAAGGGCATGTAGTCATTTGAACAGTTGCTTTAAACTCTTGGGCTGTTTGAAATTGAAGTCTTGCAGGTGAGGTGTTTCCGCTCCGAGGAGTGGCCTGAACAACCTGTGTGTGCCAAATAATGGAAGCGACGCATGGGCCCAGCGGGGAGGGTGAGGTGGGTGAAGGCTGAGTAGAAACAGCGACTTGCAGTTTCATAGGGTCATAGAATCACAGAATGGTTTGGGTTGGAAAAGACCTTAAATAAAGATCATCTAGTTCCAACCCCCCTGCCATGGGCAGGGACACCTTCTACTAGACCAGGTTGCTCAAAACCCCATCCAACCTGGCCTTAAACACTTACAGGAATGGGGCAGCCACAGCTTCTCTGGGCAACCTGTCTCCTGAAAATTCCTGTATCTCACCACCTTCACATTAAAGAACTTCTTCCTAATATCCAATCTAAATCTACTATCTTTCAGTTTAAAGCCATTCCCCCTTGTCCCGTCACTAGATGCCCTTGTAAGAAGTCCCTCTCCAGTTTCTTACAGGCCCCGTTTAGGCACTGGAAGCTGCCTAAGGTCTCTCTGGAGCCTTCTCTTCTCCAGGCTGAACAAGCCCAACTCTCAGCCTTTCTTCAGAGAAGAGGTCAGGCCCAAAAGGCTGATGTTTCAGAGATGGGTGGACAAAGGGTACAGGGGAGGGCGCTGATATCCTCAGCCAGGTGCAAGGAAGATGAGGTGTAAATTTTCTACCTGTGGCTTTCTTTGCTCTGCTTTATACATTTCTTTTAAGTCTTTTCATTTGTGACCTTTTCCTTGTCCCACTGTTACATTTTCAGACATGATTCCGAGAAATCTGGTTTTATTCATTTATAAGCTTTATTGCAGTTTTTATCACGGTAGCAAGGATTGCGTAAGGTGTAGATATGTGTGAAGATCACCACTATGGTGCTGCGCTCCATATACAACTCTACCTGGCTGTAGGCACTGTACTAGCAAGTTTAGAGCATGTAATTAGGATAAATTTGGAAGGAGGTTAAATATAAACATATTTCCAACAACTATTGCTACACGGTAGCATATGAGTATTAGGAGGGCAAAATATATCAGCTCCTGATTCCGGGATTGGTGTGGGGCGTTGGGTTTTAGCAATATCCCAGGGGATATTATTTTTCCCTCTGAATGGGTGCTAAGTGACACACTACTCTTCAAAATGAGTTTCGAGTAGGGGTGAAAATACTGCATTTACGTTCAGATGGGAGAACCACAGAGCTGTCAGGGACCAAAAAAAAATGTCGTGGTTTCACAATACAACCTTTGGCATGCCTGATACGTAACCAGGGGTCACCAGGACATTGTGAGCAGCTTACTACGTTAGTGGAATCAGTGCATGACAAGCACAAGCAAACGCTCAGTGAAAGAACGCTTGTTTTACTGAAACACAAGAAAAAGATGGAACGTGGGGTCAATACGGTGATGTGCTCCCTACTGCCTGCATCTGGGTGGCACCGAGAGTGTTCATACATTGTCCCTTGCTGTCAGCATGTGACATTTAGTCCTAGAAAGAGCTCATCAGAGTGGGAGTCTGATCCCCCTCTCACATCCTTAGTGTGTGACTGCATATTAATTGAGTTTCAGCATTTTGCCACCACTGCAGTAATTTGTAAACCTTTCTTTTTTCTTGTTTCATTATTGTTCGTGCTTCCAATAAGGTCTGAAAAACTTGCCCATCAATTGATTACACTATTGAATTAATATTTTTCATGAGGGTAAGCCTTGAACTAGGTGTTGAATGTAGCTTAGTAAGGAGAAAATAATTTCTAGTATACCTATGGAACACCCACTGTTGAATTAGTATGGAATATCTAATGCTACTGAGATTACCTGGAAAAACCTGCCATTTCTTGTGGATCTAGTAATGTAAATTGTGGCTTCTAAACGTCTGTAGTTTTGCATATCTGTAGCTGCAGGTATCTAAAAGGTCAATCCTATATGTAAAATAAATCACTGTATTAAAAATACATACTGTAGCCAGAGAGACAGAAAACACTGTCTTTTGTAGTTTATCCAGGATAATTTGTAATAAAATCAGGAAATATATTTAGAAAGATTATTAACCCAAGACCTGACCTTCTGCTTTCATGTAACATTCCTTATATGTTCATCAAGATAATGATCTAGAATGGATTTATATTTATCAGTCCCATAGTAACACAAGATAACCACCAGTGAAGTGATGCTGGAGATTAAGTCAGCAACCTACAAAGGTGTGCAGCACCCTTGCAAAAATTTAATTTTCATGGTCTGATTTCTACTGGATTTGTGCGTGGTTTATTATTTTGTGGGAACCCGACCACTCCGGTGGTAATTCCAGCATGTTCTGGTCTCAGTAATGATGCCAAGTCTTAATGGGTGCTCTAAAGGTAATGTCAGGGACCTTCAGCTTCCAGAAGCAGAAGGATGCTCTTCTCTGCCACTGCTGCTTTTCAGTTTTGTGTTGCTGCTTTAAAAACAGGAGTACAGAAATCTGCCACATGATGGCACCAAAAAAAGGAAGAGACAATAATGCCTGGGACAGCTGCGTGGCAGACCGCAGTGCTGCTGGCAGCAGCACACATCAGCTGCACAGCAATGTGCAAATGATAACAGCTTGTGCAGATGATGACAGCGTCAGTGGCTCTTACACAGTACTAATACACTGACCCTGCAGTAGTATCCTAAACCTTCTTTAATCTTCATTTCAGATGTGTGATTCACATTGGATCAGACCACAACCTGTCCTTCTTTTTATTTAATAATCTCTGTATAGAGATTCCCAGGTTTCTTGGTACTCCATAAATGTATAGAAACTTCTCACGGCACAGCTCCTGACCCTTGCCTTTTCCCTCACTTTTTCCACAGAGGATAAGTACGGCGAGTGGAGACGGCCGGCATTACTGCTACCCCCACTTTACATGTGCAGTGGACACAGAAAATATCCGCAGGGTGTTCAACGACTGTCGAGACATCATTCAAAGGATGCATCTCCGCCAGTACGAACTCTTGTGAGGGGGCTCACCGTGGAACCTGTGGTTTTAAATTCTTTGCTCCTTACTCTTTCTCTTGATACTACCCCACACAGGGTGGAGGAATATACTATAGAAATGTCAGTCTCTTCACTTTGTTTACTTTAATTATTTAACCTTAAAGCTGATTTGAAGCAAGTTTGGGTTGGTTTTCCTTCATGCTTTTTGGGACTATTTTTGTGCTTTATTTTGACATGCCACTTCTTCGTCATTCCACTAAGCCCTTCGGCTACCTCTGTTCCCGTAGGTTTTGTGTTTTTAACTGAACGTGACCTGCTAAATTTTTTCCAGCAGGTTAACGTCAGTGCAAACTGGTATGTCAGCTGGATGACACTAAAGTCATAGCTTATCCCTCTGTGTGGGTTTCCTTTTTAACATGACATTGAAGAGTACTTGATGGGTGAAAAAAAAAAAGATTAATGCACTTTGTATCAGGTTATTAAATACTGTTGAGGAAGTAGACACACAATGTAGCAGCACCACAATATTTATTACTCTGTCACAGTTTTTAGCATTTCTGAGTTGCAGGTCAACTGATAAAGTGACCTCCTCTTTTAAGCCGTTACTGGCGCAGGAAGTAGAGTAGATAATGAGAGGAAAAGTGAAGACAAAGCAATTTTTCTGGGGTTTTGGAGCTAAGTGTCTCTGCACACCTCAGGCATTTGAATTACAGCTACTTTTCAGCCTGTTGCATCTAGGCAGAAAATTTACCACCCTCACTTACGTTATTTGTGCTGTCCACAAATGATCCTTTTAGTTCAGATCATTCTTGGACAACAGTCCTCTCCCTATATATATTTTTTTGTTTTACTGCTGGTTTATTATATTGTACAGACTGTAAAATGTAATATTATTTTGTACAACTTTATTGAAGAAAAATACTTGTAGAAGATCTTTGTGCCTTGATTATGGCTGTACCTGTAAAATGAGCTAAGATGTAAGTATGTTTTTGATTGCGCTGTACAGCTTGATGTCAACCTTACCTGCAGCAGTGACTGGAGGTAAGAACTTTATCTGTAGAGTTTAGGGGTTTTTTTCTGGTTTATATAAAAATGCTCTTTAGTATAAAAATTATAAATTATGCAAATTAACCACTTACCTTTCCAAGTAAGGTATTACAGTCACCGGATGTTGCAGCAAACATGCCTTTCTCTTTTGAAGTCTCAGCTTTAAAACATTGGAATTCATTCAAGTGTCCAAATTGCAACCTGGTGTTGTTTTAATGGGAACCAAGGATTTCAGTTTCTTCTTTTTTCCTTTCGATTTAGAAAATATGTTTGGTAATTCTTTGGTCATTCATAGAACTTCACAATTGCACAGACCGATTGTGAATGTGTAAAGCACCATTATATAGAGCTCTTCAATCTTTGTACCAACAGCGGCTTTCATTGTGCAAGTAAATAGCGAGAAAGAAGAAAAAAAACCCTAAAAAAAGGTGTATAAACCCTTGTGTCTGGCCTAAGAGAATTACAAGATGACATTTTTATTTCTCTTTTAATAAAGAGACACATTAGAAAATGGTTTTATTTTAAATATTGTAGAATCAAAACGTGTGACTATTTCTCAAACTTGAATAATTTATGCAAATGACATTCTCAAAACAAGTTGTGGTACAGTACAATATATAAAAAGCAAGAATTGCTGTAGCAATAAGGCATGTCCTTTTTAGTAACTATAACACTGCTTTATATTTTATACATAGGTGTTTTATGTCTGTGACTATATACTTTTCCTGTGTCCAAGATAACCTGTACAAATGTCTAAAATTACAGTTGCAATAACAGAAACCTAGAGAAGTGTTAGACTACATTACTTTATAGAATGTTTTACCACACTTTGGACCATTCCCCCCACTTTGTTTTAAATTTAGGGAGAGATTAAGAGCTAACAACACATGCCCCACACTGGCATATAGATCAGCAGGTTTGATTAACTTTTTACTATAAGCATTGTTATTAGTTATAAACCCCAATCCGTCACCTTTTTAAAGTCAGACTACAAGTGAATTGAGAAGTTGTTTCTATTGGATGCTGAACAATCCCATTTTAGATACTATGACCATTTCCTCTTCCCAGAAATGTGTATACTTTGATATCTGTACACTCAATTTAGTCATCAGATAATTCCCAGACAGTGACAGGCTGGGTGGACTAAGCTAATAACAAACAAAATTCCCGAAAGCAAAGATTTTCTCGCTTCCCGTGCCAAAGAAAGTAATAGTGTGACTAACAAAAGCTAGTCTTTTCTTTAAAACAGGCCCCGACCCAGGAGTTCAGATCAGAGCTCCCAGCCTCTGCAGGAATGCCAGCAGGAACACTGGTCCTGGTGTGAAACAGTCCCTCTGGTTGTTCTTAGGGCGGGTGGGGAGAAGCAGTAGGTTTGTCACATCCTCCCTCACCCCCAGCACGTGAAGATGCTGAGCTCCACGCTGCCATCCAGGCAGGGGCCTCCGCCTCCCCACAGAGGGGCTAGTGCAGTTCAAATTGCGACTCTACAATAAAGTGAAGAGAACTTGGCGGCCCAGCAGGAAACCAAAATATGGTGCATTCCTATCCCTGTCTGTCCATAGACTGAGGGCCAAGGCATAGGATAATGTTACTGCAGCTGTATTTGACCTTCCTTCTTGCAGAAGATCAGCAACTGGAGGGCCCCTCACCACACAGATCTCTGGGATGCAATAGGGCCCTCTTTTTTTAAGCTCATCATAGCACATCTTTTTAAAAAGAGCAGCTTGAGGTGTCACCCTATTTTTTTTTTAAGCAGGTTTCGAGTGTTTATCAGCAAACTGGATCCACGAGCTTCTTCCTGTTGTTGTCTGGTAGACGATAACTGCAAATTGTAGTCAGCTAACAATTTAATGTGTCAGGAACTGGAAGATTTCTTGTCCCAAACCCCAGTCCCTTACATACAACATCCTAAAAAGGTTACGGAGATCCACATCTCTCCATGCTGATGTACCTAGTTTCTGCCTGACCCTAACAAACAGGAGTATGACATTAGAAGGGCCATGCAGCAATAAGACAGAGAAATATTTCCAGTTTGCAGGACCGAGCCTCCACCAGGGTAAGACACTAGTGCAGAGAAGTGATGAGGCTATAGGATTTACATAATGTACAGTTACACTTTTAATATACATATTTGATACAAAAATTATAGCAGGAAAAGGACTCATTTGATTGTCGAATACAGTATTTTTGTACAGCATGAAACGCTCATTTCAGTTAATTATTTATCCTGTAGTAGTCATATCAGCTGTATAGGACTTCTATGGTATGTGTAAATGCAACCTGCCTTCAGACTAGCAATCAAATTAGGTCATTTGCTGGCATGAATATAGTCTGATGTTTGACTGTTCTCAGCTTTGGTATTTCAGTGACTGAATGCAGATGTCTGGCTCTTCATACTGCTTTATGCTTACTGATTAAATGCTGAGCAAAATAAAATGGTGGAGTGAGAAGCTGAAAATGAGCTAGTACCAGGATTACAAGCAGAGCACCTGCTGCACAGTATATAGTAAAGACTCTGCTCTCATATGGAAGGAAGCATTTTTGGAGGGAGAAGTCTGTCGGTGTTATGCTGCCCTGGAAAAGAAATGAAGACTGTCACTTTGCTGTTACAGTGGTTCTGAATCAGGAGTAAACACCACGACTGTCAGATCTCCAATTTCTAAATTCTGTGTTGGGTGGTAAGGGTTGGGGCCAGTTTCCTAGTACCAGTGCCTTCTCCAGGGGGCTGAAGAGTCCGTACCTTGTGGTGCTGGGCACTACCTGGAACAGTCACCAGGCCAACATTAGCCCAGTGGCCAATCTTCCCTCTATTCCATCTAGCTTAAACAGAGAGCTGGGCTCCTCATCTGATCTGCCTTCAAGAGAAGCCTAACTTTAGCTGTTATAAATCCACCTGGAAGGAGCCTTCCCAGGCTAAAGTTAGGTTTTGTGAATGTGCCCCTCCCTCCAAACCCTCCTCCTACCCAGTACGTGCTGCAAAAAACATGTTGGCTAATCCAAATATGAACGCGAACGTCAACGACAAAGAACTCCATTGGGTTTTGGCTTGACTTTGCAGTTCAAATTAAAGTTTACAACGGAGCAAGACCAAGTGAAAAGAGTAGTGATGATGCAACTTTAATTAGCCAACCTCTTGTTTTGCAGTGAAGATGCACTGTCTGGCATGTGCAGAGAGCATGTGTAGTTTGAAGGCAGCTACTCTCAGGAATATGGAATAAACAGAACTACTTTCAACAAGAAGTATTAACAGTTGCATAAAATGAATTTAAAAGTTTGGGGTTATCTGTGTATTAAGCAGCCTAAACTCAACAGCAGTGAAAAAAATATACATGAAAGATTTCCTCCCCTGAGTCACAGACTACTCTGTAAGCAGATGGTAGGTTTTGCTTCTTACTCCAAGTTTCTAGGAGTTCTGTTTTGGTTTTGAACTGGGGAACTAATTATTTTACCTCTTAAGGATATACTGAGCACTGGAACTGCCTGTGAGAGCATAACCAACACACTGTATAAAATGTGAATGGGAAAGGAGGAGGCAGACTATTGGCCTGTGACAAAGTTTTCGTCCTGTGAAGCGGTTTAATGCGCAAGTTTGGAAACCGCCATCACCGCGAGAGAGTCTGAGGTGGAGACGGTCTTGTTTTCATAGTTGGTAAACCAACCAAGCCAAACTAGTCTTTCTACTGTTCCGTGCACAATACTGATTATTTTTACAAGTCAATAGTTTACAATGCACCCTCTTTATAAGAAAATGTTAGATGCTTGTACCCAGATACTAATTAGATCTTTAAGGGCACTGCTTTGTACCACACAGAAGATGTGGCTCCCACAGATGGACTTTCTGAGGTGGATGCAGTGTACTGAGTGGGTTGGGTGGGTAGGCAATTTTTTACTTTTTGTTTTTCCAGGTAGGATCAGTTCAATTCCAGCTGACTGCCATGTTCATTTATTTATGAAAGTTATCTGACAAAAATAAAAA